GAGAAAGGATTTTTCAGTCACATGGAATTGGTAACACCTGTTTCGTGTTGATGTCTAGTCAATATGACTGAGGGTACATCTACACTGAACACTTATTTCAAAATAAGCTCTTCCGGAAAAAATACTCCGAAACAGCTTATTTTGAAATAGCACATCGACACTACAGGGAGGCCTCAAAATGAGCCCGAGGCAGGATCCCCTCATGTAGACATGCTACCTCGACTTAGAGGAGACACTGGGGAGTAATTCGTTTGAATGGCTGTGGGGAGGAGCTATTTTGAAATAGCAGCAGTGGAGCATCCACACTCCTGCTATTTTGAACTAGGCGTTATTCCTCGTGGAATGAGGTAGACAGAAGTTGGAATAAGCCATTTGTTATTTCAGATTTGTTTCAAAATAATGGAATTGCTGTGTGGACGCTCACATTGTTATTTCAAAATAAATGTGCTGTGGAGACGCACCCTGAGTTAGGACGTATTTTGTAAAAGCTTCCACACCCTCCCACCGCCTGCGGTCAAGGTTCAAGAGCCAGGATAAACATCAGTCTGACAGACCCAGGGGAGGCCAGTCTGGGTGTTCCTGAGATTTAATATAAAAAAGAAATAGGAAAAGAAAATCCTTTTGTGGGGAGGGAGACCCAAAAAGCTTCCAGTCCCCTCTCAGACTTATCTGTCCTCAGAGTTTCTCTCCTAAAGTAGAGGGAGGAAAAAGGGCACGCGTCCAGTTAATACAACCAAACACTTGCCAAGTCCCTTTGTAGACTTCTTCATACTTCCATCCAGTCTCTCGGGGGGAAAGGTGGTGAAAGACGCAGAGAAGCAGCACAATCCAAGCTTTCAGTTGTTGCAGCCACTTTCCCTCTGAGCTGCAGCATTGCCAGATGTACAAGAGGGCCGCAAGCCTGCAGGCTGGTTTCTAAGCGTGCGGTGCAGTACTTTTCCTTTTGCCCGATAAAGGCATTTCTCAGCCTCTTTAAACCTGTTAGATAACAAAGTCTGAAAAAGCCACAGGTACATGTGGGGTCCCAAATAACTACACAGAGGCCCGATAGCTGCACATGCAGGGCAGCTCTGAGCCGTCCCAGGTGACTCCCGACATAGGAGAACCCACATGCACACACAAACGCTTCCCGGCAGCCTCAGGGGAGCAGGCAGGAGGCACAGGTGGTGGCCAGCAGCCCACATGCTGGTGGGAGGACTCGCAGAGCTCGGCCGTGCAGCCAGCGAGCAGAGAGAAGCAGCACTTTGAAGGGGAAACCGCCATGTCTTTCCAGCCACTGGCTGCACGGCCAACCCCTGCTCCTCTGGCATCCTCCAGCCTGAGCCACTCGCTGCCTCTTGGGGAACAGAGACTGGGTGCAGCACGCCGGGGAGGGCAGGGAGGACAGATGGGGGATGGGGCTGGTCATAAGAGCCAGTGCAGAGCCACGGGGGAGGGGTCAGCTGGGGATGCCTAGAAGTCCCCTTCGGAATCTCCACCTACCTCCTCACCCTCCTCTAATTAAACCTGCCTTTCCTCAAGCTTAAATCAAAAACTCTCTCTACCATTTTTATTGCACATAAGCAGCATTTCAGCTCCATTCTGGGTTAAACAGGCTTTTGTGGGCTAGCCTGGGAACCTAACTGCCATTGATAACCTTGTCTCTATGAGAAAATACGTTCCAAGTTCCAAACAGCTGACTTACAAGCGAACTTTTGGCACACAACCTGTTCGGAAGTTGGGGACTTCCTGCGTAGAATACAGTGAGTTCTACCACAGGGCTCACCAAGTATGTAAAGGTTCTGTTCCCACGCACTATAACACCTGTCTGATTTGCAGGTTGTTGGGGGTGGGGTAGGTTGCTCACCCCAAATAGTGTCTCAAGCAGAATCACTTCTGGGATCTGAGGAGTAGGATCACAGAAAGAGTGGCTAATGGAATCAGCTGGGAGTGGAATCAAAGCTCTGTTGATCAGGGAGTTTATGTGCTCTGGGATCTCATTGGCTGCCAAATTATTATTAATTAATACACTCCATTTATTGCTGTGGCTTTTCACTATTGGCTGGGTAAGGCTTAGTCCCTGTTGTGTAGCAGCACACAATAGCTGAAAAGCCATGACATGCCAGTGATGTGAAAATGCCACCCCTTGGAGGAAGAGGAGAGTCAGAGAGAAAGACGAAGAGCTGCTAAGGGTTTGGATTTCCCATGTGTTTGGGAGTAGTTCAGTAGGTTTGAGTGGCCTAAGGGTTAGAGCCAAGGATCTGGGAGTCAGGACTTTGGGGTTTTCTTCTCTGCTGTGAAACTAATTCACTGTGCGACTTTAACAACGGACAATTTTTCTGCATCTGTTGAAACAGAGCAAAAAGTAGCTCCACGTGGCCTGAGCTGGGGTTTAAATTACAATGAAAGAGGAGAATATGGGACTAATCAGCTCCCGTCTTCCACAAGCTGGCCAGTGAGTGGTTAGAGATTCAGGAAGGGGTGAAGCACCCTTCTCCCCCCCACCCCACACACGTCCCCCAGCATGTGTTCTCCTGCCCAGTCACTGCACACCTTCTCTAGTTTCCTTCCTGTGGGGGGGGGAGGGGGGCATTTCCCAAAGTGTAAAATTGTGTCACTGCAAAGGCATGGATGTGATGTGCACCCGGACCCGCTCGACAATGGGAGGAGAACTGCCACCTACTGTTGTAGACAATCTACTGTTGACAGCTGATTTGAGATTTTCAGCTAGCTCAAATTGTGCTTCTGCTGGAGAGTGCTATTGGCTTTGGTCCCCCCATATCTTTGGCAGGCCTGCCACATGACCCGTGTGTCTGGATATATTCTGGAGGGCTGCATAAAAGTGAATTGAATCCAGTTGCATCTACATACAAGAAAAAAAATCCTTCACCCATGTTATGAGTTTTTAAATCTGAAAGAAGAGTAAAAAACGGAATGTACTCCACACTTTGTTCTGTTTGCTGTGCATTCTCCCCCAGCTGGAGACAATGAAGGCACATCTGTCACTTTCCCTCTTACTTACACCTTCTAGTCATTCTCCGTTCCACATTCTTGCTGGCTGGCACGTGCTGTGTGAGAGCTGGCTGAATGGCGAACACCTCTCAGTGCCAGTGATGCAACAAAATTTGCCAACTTCATTCATTCAGTCATACACTATGAATATGTCACTACCCCGAGAGGCTGTTTCCACTCAAGTGGCTTTGGGTTTTGTAAAGTCTTCTCTTCTGTAAAAACATTTGATCCAAATCAGCTAGGGTCTAAAAGACTGACCCAGTTTCTTGTTAGCTGATGTGATTAGATTGAACTTTCAAATGAATACCCACAGTAAATGAAACTGCAGATTTGAGAGGGCACATCTTTACAGCAGGACTAAAGCCAAAGTAAGCTATGAAACTTGAGCAACCCAGAATAAGTCGAAACAGCTTCTTTTGGCTTTTGGTGCTGTCTACACGGCAGGAAGTCCAAGTTACAGCACGCTTCCTCCAACTTTCCTTACTCCTCGTAAAAGGAGGGTTACAGGAGTCTGAGTAAGACGTCCTCCAGTTCGACATTATTTCGACATTATGTCAGAATAACTGCTTGCTGTGTAGACGCAGACTGTGTTATTTCGGAATAACTGATGTTATTCCGAAATAACGCTGCTGTGTAGACATAGCCAGACAGTGCACACAGTGACTAATCCTGGATCCAGCAGGCTAAACGAGAGAAGAAAATGAACAGACAGTGAAAACAACTCCTCTGAGGTCCTGTGAGATATCTGAAGATAAGCAGCATCAAAACAGAATTAGTCCGAGCATTTGCGGGCTCACATACTTGAAATACCAAAACGCTTCAACTCCTGGTTCAGTTTGTGCTAGGAGGAGATGTCTGAGCATTGAACAGAAGAATTTTTTTGTTTTGTTTGGATGTCACAGGTTCTGCTCTGCACAGAGATTAGACTCGACTTACGGTAGATTTCTTTGCATCCAGGAAATGGAAGGAAACTGATATTGGGGAAGACTGACAGAGAGATTGTATCCATGACAACCAGCAGATATGGCCTTGCTGCCCAGCTGGCTGGTGCCTGATTGGTTCCCATGTCCTCCCAGGATGGATTCCCAACTCCAGTGCTTCACATTTTTGTCTCTGTCTTGGCACTCTGGAACACTGGTGACAAATTCCCAAATGTGAAGAGGCATCAGTGTTGGT